TGCTTCAGCAGGAATGAGAACTGTGCTCCCCACAGCCTTTACAGGGAAAGATGACTGCAGACTTAGTGATGCAGCAGTGTAGAACATATCCTGCAAAATATCTGGGATACTTGAATCTAGACCAATACATAGCACTTCATCTTCTTTTTAAGGGAGGAAATTAAAAGCAGTTATTTTTCTGCTTTTTCACAGATCAAGAAGTGACATATTATCCTTGTGTGATTTATACACATAGGAATTAATCCTGCTGAGATTGGTCCTGAAGGAACAGAAGTGTCCAAAAAAATGGGCAATAACATGAAGCAAGTGCTTCTCTTTCCCTTTTACCTTCCACAAGCTTTACCTTTCCTTTGGAAAGAGCATTCATAAGTAAATGATTTAAAAGAATTTCCTCCTTTTCCAGCCATTCCTTGTTTTTGCCTAATATGGAAAAACAACCCAAGCATTTATTTTTGTTATGCAGTAAACACTACTGGACTAAGTACTTTTAAAACAAAATAAAACAAAACATAGAAGGTTACAAACCATTTGGGAAACAACTACTCTGCACAGAATAGAATCATAAAGTCATTAAGGTTTGGAAAAGACCTCCAAGATCCCCAAGTCCAACCCCAGCCCTCCCCACCATGCCCACTGTGTCCCTCAGTGCCACATCCCCATGGTTCTGGAACACCTCCAGGTTTGGTGACCCCTCCACCTCCCTGGGCAGCTGTGCCACTGCATCCCACATGTACCTGCTCCACCACTGCCTAAAGCCTACTGAAAATACGTTCTGCACATATGACATCAGTGGTACAAAACAGAAGTGGTATTAAAACAACGAGCAATGTCTAGTGGCCCTTCCACCAGTTCCCATGCCTTCAGAAAGATGAATAACTTGGATTTATGTACCAACAGTGAAAAGAAACACCTCTTCCACTGATGAAGCCAACAGTTTGCTTTCTCATGTTTGCACAACAAGCCACCTGGGTGAAAGGAAACATGATGACTGGGCAGAGGAAAAGGAAGAGGCGCGTCCTGAACCAGGCTCTGCATTGCACATGCAGAAGGCATTTAAAAATGGGTACTGTTTCATCCTCAGTGATGACTACAAGCCCTCTGTCTGTACAAAAGAGACAGCAAGAAGTAATTCTGGCAGGTCTGCTTTACGTTGAGAGCATCTCAGACGATGACAACACCATGGCAAAAGAATACAGTCAGTTTAAGGAGAGGTTCTGAGGATATTTTAGGGTCTCTTCCCATCAAACACCTCAAACAGGGAGAAAATCCTCCTACTCCAGCATTCATGTGCAGCACTGCTATGATTCTTGCTACGTTTAGCATACAGCATGAGAAAAAGGCTGTGAAGCAAAGGAGAAGCTATAATTTGAATATATTCACTTGATTTAGCAATGAAATGATTCCCTACAAGCATCAGTGGCAAGAGAATCACATAAGAACAGGCTACAGCAGTTGGGAATTCAAATAATTAAACAGAGGTCTCCTTTTAAAGCAGCATTCAAAGGAATCTGAATTTCAAAACAAATTTTAGGTCTTTGAATGGTATGCTTTAAATCACAATTAAAGTATATTTAGCAGCCACTTCAGTGTATGATTTCTGGTCCTTTCCCAGTTTGTGTAAATAGATTATTTTTGAGCCCAAACACAAATTCATTATATTTCATTATATTCCTCTGCAAATGCACTGATTAAAAACGTGCTCAAAACCTTCAGTTATAATCTAAATCATAACCATTTGTAAAACAGCAAAGAAGTTTAAGTTACTTAAGTTAAGGCCACTTTATTAATTTCAGTGGATTTATTCCTGAACTACTGTATACATACAGAGAGGGCAGCAAGAGACTGTTATGCTGTAATTAGTTTCCTGTTAGCCTGGAGGTGTCAGGACAAACTAAGTTGTCAAGTTAGTTTCTTTTGTGGTAAAAATTAACGTCATTTTTCTGCAAGGATGGGTTTCCTCAGCACATCTCCCCAAAGAACCAAGCTCTTCCTAAGCATTGATCCTGACCATAAAAAAAACCAACAAGGATTAACGACTTCTGTGCAACTTGGCAACAGTTTTAAAACTCAGTAGTGCCAATGAAGCCTTCCGAACAAAATCTGCTGACATTCATAAGGCCCAGATCTAACCTGCTGTGTCTAACAGTGCACTCAAACTACAGCTTCTCTTTTCCAGGCATCAGTACAATAACTCAGCATCTCTGTCTCTGGATACGGTGAGCAGCACCTGCTGTGGGGCAGGCTGCTCTTTTAGTTTTAAGATGCAGCTCTTGCAATACACACCGTGGTACAGTAAGAAGTGTCAAATACTGGATAAAACCTCTGCCCATATAGGAAGCTGTTCCAGCCTTTCACAGAGTGGGTGATGCATTTGTTACCTACACAGGACCTAAAAGAAGCTTTACTAACCCCTGCCATACTGCCAGTGTTCAAAGATGCAGGCAGCAGCTAATGTCCAAAACTCAAAGAGAAAATATGAAGTATTTAAATACCCACGATTAAATTGGGCTTGTATCTTCAAGTCTCCATTTACCACTGCTTTGGGGATGGACAGGTTTGGAATTCTGGACCGACCTACCTGACTACCCAGAACATGGAGATCCATACTACTGCAAAAAAAGGCTCCATTATAATCTGGAGCACGTGGCTGAAGTTCTAGAATTCTGTATTTAAAAACCAGAATGTTTCATGATGCTTCCCCAGCTGAGTTTGCAGAACACTGAAATGCTGGATCTTTCCCACACAAGAAATTGGTCATAAGGTACACAACTGAAATACCAAAGGACCTCCTATCTCCAGTGCTGAGGGAGGCTGAAACCTTTGCCTTCCTTCAAAGCGCGTCTGTGTGGGAGTCAATGCAGTCACAGCTATGAGACAAGAAACAAACCTAAGGGAAAAGCATTCAGCTTGGAATTTCTTCAGGTCCCATTCCAGATGGATGCATCAACTAAGTTTTAAATTAAAAACAAAACACAACAATGTCAACATTTCAAAATTATTACTTACTTGGATGGATGTTCTACTAAACACAGTTTATCAAAAGGTTAAGACCTCCATCTTCATAATAATCTCTTGCAAATTATGTTACAATTACCTGCTGACATCACTACAGCCATGAAAATGAACCTGTCTCAGTTTCCACATAACTGCAGATACAATTATACAGGGACAGCAGGTATTTATATAGAGCACTGTCGGTTCAGTTACCACACCTCAGTAAGGCAGGCCTTTTCCAAAGTCTACCACTCTGAATAAGCTCACTCAAAAGTACACAAACAAATCATGGTGGTGGGTTTTTTTTTTATTGTTTTTTACATACACAGCAATACAAGTTAGCCTTGAGAGCTTCAAAAGCCAATAGGACACGGCCATGGGCAACCAGCTCTAGGAGACCCTGCCTCAGTAAGGCAGTTGGAATAGGAGACTTCAAGGGTCTCTGCCACCCTCAACCAATTGCAAGCAGTAACCTTCATCTTCTGGAAGGGAGTCTGTGGCATGACCTTACCTGGAAGAGCACCACCCTAGAAAACTCAACAGGAACTAGAAGCACAGAGAAGGAAAGTAAAGATATGAGGAAATGACTGATCACAAAGCATACAATATCTTTTATTTCAAGAGCTGTCATGTTTAACCCAATGGTAGAAATAGGTTCCCCAGGGAAAAGGCCACAGCACCAAGCTGGCCAGAGTTCAAGAAGTGCCTGGACAACAGTTTCAGACGTATGGTCTGATTTTTGTGTGGTCCTGCATGGAGTCAGGAGATGGATTTGAAGATCCTTATGGGTTTCTTCCAACTTGAGATGCCCTATGACTATATGGTTTTGGCTAGGATAGAGTTAAAATTTCTTCCTAGGGGCTCGTGAGACGATGCATTTAGATTTCTGATGAGAAGAATATTGATAACACATCAATGTTTTAGTTGTTCCTCAGCAGGGATCATGCAGAGCAAAGGACTTCTATTCATGCTGGCTGACCAGCAAGAAGCCTGGAGGTGTACAAGGAGCCGGGAGGGGACACTGCCAGCACAGCCGATCCCAGCTATCAAAGGGCTTTTTTATACCATACGACATTGTACTTAACAGTGAAACCTGGAAAGAGGGGAGGGGATGTTGGGAGGGATGGCATTTGTCTTCCCAAAGAACACGATGAACCCTGTTTTCCTGGCAGTGGCAGAACATCTGCATGCCAACGGGAAGCAGTGAATGAGTTTCTTGTTCTGCTTTCCTTGTTATCTTAACCCACAAAGTCCTTGCACTTTTACCTTTCTGATCCTGTCTTCACAGGTATGCCTCACTACACGAGCACAAGCCTGTTTGTCATCACCAGAGACTGGGTCTACTCCCGAAACAATGACACAGTGCTGCAGCAATGATTCAGCATGCAGAAATGCACTTACCCTGGGTCGCTCATACTGCTGTAGCTATGATTGCTACCCCAGCATTGGGCATGCTGCAAAGTGCTGTTTCTGCCATTAGATTAAACTCTTAGCAGCAGCAAAGAAGGTATTTCAGTACTGTATGCAATAACTTTGCAGGGGCAAAGCAAGGGTGTAAGGTTGTAACATGAAATTAGTGCATGACTTACTCACTCTTGTGGGATGTATAGTTTGGAAGCGGTAGAGATGCTTGTAAGTCTCAGCTGGCATCAAAGTGGTTTCAGCAGATTAGCAAATCAACCAGATAACTGCTTCCTCCCAGAACCATCCCTATTTCTCTCTGCCACAAAATTTGCTTGTGCTTACTCTTTTTTTTTTATTTTTTTATTTTTTTCTCCACACCTACAAAGTGTTTCATCTTTCTGCTCTGCACACTATATATCATCTTCCTTCCTGTGGTACCACGGCTGCAAAGCCTGCAAAGTCATCTCTCACTGAATCTTCACAAAGAAACCAGAACTGTGTAAGCTATCAGAGGAGCCTTGTTGGAGACATGCCAAAGAATTCAGAATTCTGAAGGCAGAAAGCCTTCATATCAGGAAAGGACCAGGCAGGAGAATAAAACAGCCAATACATTACTTTTTAATCAGTTATTCACATTAAAGTTGTTGATTTTTAAAATACATTTTTAGCAAGTATAAATAAAATTCGTATTACAAATATGTTTAACTAACTCTTAAAAAACAAAAATCAAAGCTGAAACTGTTCATTCCTGAAGGGCTACTCAGATAAAAGCTGGGTGGATATCCTGTTTCTTCATTTCACTAATCTGATCAGCACAGTAGAGCTACTTCTGCTGAAGAACAGAACAAAATGCTGGCACAAGTTTATGAACCCTGAGGAGAAAGAAATAAAATGTATTATGCTTTGCAAAAGGCTAAAAATGAAAGTCAGTGGAACTTCCCTACTGTAGGGCTTCTTTTTGTCACTCCAACAATACAGAGGCCCCAAGTTCTGGCCCAACTGTGCTATGTGACCTAATTTAAACCTTCTTACATTAGATATCAGTCAAAAAAATAAAAAAACAAACTGGATTCCAGGGGCTGCAAATGGAAAAAGAAAAAAAAACAACAGAAAAGAAACAACTCTATGGTGACTTTCCTTCAGCCAAGTAAGAAGTGTATAGCAGAGCTGAGACAAACCCCAAATCCCCCCAGCAGCCACTGCCCTTACCAGAAGCCCATTCCTTTTCTCCCCAGACATATAAAAGTGTCAGCTCTTTTCCTTTGCATTCATTTAGCTAAAGACATCACTACTTAACCTGACTGCTTCTGTCCTCAAAGGAATGCTCATTGGACAACATGCTGTGCATTTTTGTAACATGGTGTATGCGTATCAAAGCTGTCAGAGTTAAATGCATTGACTGAAATTATATTATTTGCTATTCCATGGGTGTTCAAACTTTTGCTTTGCCTTGGCCACAGAGTGAGGAGGAATTGTCTTGAACCACATACACGTAGGTCACTCTGAAAGTAATGCCTCCTTCCTACAGCTGACAACATTGTTTGACAGAGCAAATTCTCAGCTAGAAAACACAGTTTTTTAACATAATCATCACCATTAGCTCTGCATTTTCTTCAGCAATGAACAAGAGCCTGCATGCTGTGCTCATAAAAACCTGAACCAGTGGAAGTGACCCACTATCACTGTCACCACTGCTGAAACGCACCACCCCCCGCCTCACTGTGCTCGCACCCACAGCCTGGGCTCCATCAAAGCTCAGCAAGTGTCGATGAATGTCAGTGGGGGCCATTTTTTTCTGCGTGGAGGAATTCAGTGACACACCTTTGCTTCATCTGCACTTCCGTGTCAGATGCCATTCGGTCCTAATGCCCCCCTGCTGCCATCTGTCACACAGCAACAAGACACGATGAGCTACTGGTGGGATGGCTCAACCTCTACAGCCATACTACCAACAGCAGCCTCTGATGACATGGGCCAACATCACATAGTGTATATAGTTCAACTGCAGTGGTTGCAACTCCTATTGAGTTCTCAAGGTGTTCATCAGAGATTTTGATGAAATTCTACTCATCCTTGAGAAAAGTTGTTCACAAATGTATGTACTGTCAAAAAGTGGTGACATGAATAAGTCCAGACTATGGAGGGAGGGATATTTCTCACTGCTATGACATGGCTTACAGAAGTCCAGTAGACAGACACGATCAGATTTGTGAGTTGAATATCTGATTGCAATTCTATACGCTCCATTCGACAATTTGAAGGTCATATATTCATGCTGTCTGAAAACGGAGTCTCAAACATACAAAAAAATGATAATTATTTGGCAATCATGAAACCTGTTCTCAAATTTCTTTACCAAAACAGAACACAAGGCTGCATATTTTTATCTGTTCACAGAGTGCATTTAGCCAATGTATCAAAATGCATACAATTACTTGCCATAACTTGAGTTAACCCTGTATCTCCTCATGCCCTGGCTTCAGCCCAGGTGGGATTAATAGCACACTGATATCTGGTCAATGCTGAGTGACAGCTGCACTGAATGCTGAACTCATGCCATAACAGCATAAGAGAAGCCAGCTTTCTCCTGCCTCAAGTGACCAAAAGAATGGACAAGTTATTTTAAGGTAAATTAGAACCAGAGGAGGATAGTTGAGTATCTCTTAAATGAATAAAAATGCAACAACAACAAACATTTAGAGTGCCTCTAAGAGGAAGCCACAAAAGCCATACTGCTGTATGTTTCCAGGAAGAACAGCCGTTCCAACCCAGAGGGAAGGGTGCTGCCCATGCACCAGCAGCAGGTGCTGCATTCCTGCAGGCCTAGCTCATAGAAAACAAAAACAATACCTACAAGATGTTGATTGTTGATTTCTCCTCACAGGAGGAGGTGAGAAAACTGCCTCTCTGTCTTTACCATCTGAAATTTAAATAGGTAAAAGAGTATTAAAGAATAAAGCAAATCTTGAGGTGCTAAGGTAACTGCAGCTTTCCCTTCTCTTACTGTAAAAGCTTAAAAATGAAGATAAAGAGGAATTATCCTCTCTTGAATTCAGTAGCATTAATTCCAGCTTTACAGCACTGTAAGATGTTGGCAGAGCCAGGCTAAGTGCTTTAAATGGAACTGACTGTCAGCTGTGTCATCTTTTGAACTGCCACCCTGACAACAAAGGGAATAAGAAGTAACTGATGCAAACAACTCCAAATACTTGATCAAAGTCCTTCAGATTCATGGCAATAACACAGTAAAAGGTACAAGGTCTCTCCCTTTGTTTGCTTCCCATAACAAGACAATAAGTAGTTTAAAAAGCAAAGCCTGGCGGTTTTTATATTCTATTTTCCACAACTGGAGTTGGAAGTTGGAGTTGGAAGAGTTGGGGGAATCACAGAATGGCCAGGGTTGGAAGGGACCTCAAGGATCATGCATCTCCACCCCCTGCCACACGCAGGGCCACCAACCTCCACATTTCATAGCAGCCCAGGCTGCCCAGGGCCCCATCCAACTTGGCCTTGAACACCTCCAGGGATGGACGGGGCATCACAGCCTCTCTGGGCATAAAGTACATATGATACTGCCTACCTGTGCAGTTGTAAAAGCCTTGCTGAACTGCCACCTTCCACAGAACCCAGCAGCTCCAGCCACCGAAACAATCCCGCAGCCTGCAGGGCATGATTCTAATCACTAAACCCATTTTATAGTCTTACCTTATGAAGAGCTGAGAATTAAGATGGAATCATCCCACAGAGGCGCTCACAGGCACAACATTCATTCACAGCTCTGAGGGCAGGCCTTGGGTTTGCTCTCCTACCCTTGTTCATATCTCAATACAGTTTACAGCCACTGGGCCGTGCTCCTATCTTTCTTGAATCTATTTGTTTTAAACAGGAAATACACTTTAGCACCTGTAAGTCTTGTGTTCAGTTATCAGATCAACATAAAAACTAAGTATTTCAAACTTAGAGCTCAGCTTTCATTACCTATCCTGTGTTTTCTTCTGCTTGTGCTATCAGAACACAATTTGTTAGTGTCACTTCCTCATTTTCATACATTCAGGCAGTTTTCACTGCATTTCACAGAATCACAGAATCACAGGGTTGGAAGGGACCTCAAGGATCATGAAGCTCCAACCCCTCTGTCACAAGCAGGGCCACCAACCTCCACATTTCATAGCAGCCCAGGCTGCCCAGGGCCCCATCCAACCTGGCCTTGAACACCTCCAGGGACGGGAATCTCTACCATTCTAAATTATTACAACCAAATCAAAGGTTATGTACTTCTAAATTAAATTTCATCGGAGAGAAAAACTTACATTGCAGCAAACAAACAAAAAAAAACCCAAACAATTATTGGGGTGAACTGGAAAGCACTGTGTCAAATTTCAGGCAGGCTGTTAGGAACAAGCTCTACTCAGAAGGAGTGGTGATGCAGTGGCACAGCTGCCCAGGGAGGTGGTGGGGTCACCTGGAGGTGTTCCAGAACTGTGGGGATGTGGCATTGAGGGATGTGGGCAGTGGGCATGGTGGGGTGGGCTGGGGTTGGATTTGGTGATCTCAGAGGTACTTTCCAATCTGAATAGCTCCATGATTCAATTTCTAGTTGCACTGAAACTGAAGTTCTGAAGGAGACTGACTCCAACCAACTCTTCTGAAAGACAAAAGATTTGTCTGCTTTAACTTACGGATTGAACAAGTCAAGAAAACAACACATCACAGTCTCCTTGAAGTTCTGATGGCATGATAGTCTAAGCTTCAGATATAGTCTGCTTTAAAAGTAAACCTGTATGCAGTTCTCTCAGAATTGCTTTTTTCTTTTTAAATCTCCATTCCATCAAAATATTTAATCATTCTAGTAGTTTCTATATGCCACAATATACCAAGTTTATTTATTTTTAACTCAAGGAACTGGCCCTTGCTGCTGGTAGAAAGTTGCAATGGAAAGGACCTGCTAACTGGTTTCTATCTGCAGCAAAAGTCTGCTCCTTGGATAACTCACAGTCAGAAGCCTTTGCCAATTCCAGAGAAGTTTGTGTGAAGGACAAGCTGCTTAGCAACTATCAGCATCCACTTCCAAACACTGTCTGCAGGCACGTCAACGCTGCTAAGGCTTCTCCAGGACTTGCTGTTCAACTATATGCTCTTTTAGTTTAGCACAGAATTAAGGCTACAGGTACTTTACAGATGTAGCAAGTTCTAAGAAAAAGAGCCAGAAGTTAGGAAGCCAAGAAACAGAAGGTGAAGGCTACACTTGAGTGTCACTTGGCATGTGATTCAAATTCATTCTTCAGCTGTTACCTTAAGTCTTCAGTGTAGTCAGTTGTTAACAATTCTGCCAGATCTGCAACAACTGAGTAAAGCTTCTCTCATGTAAGTCAATGTATGGGATGATTGCTAGCAGTGCTGTGGTTGTCTAATTCTCCTCTCAAGAAGACGCAGCTCAGGTTAAAAGTAGCTTTCACTTAGAGCATGAGCACAGAGTTTATAAACAACAGATAATACCAATTTGCTATGGCTACCCTGGCTGTAAAGCAGTAGAAATAAGTAAGCATGATCCAATTGGAGGGCAAGGAACTGTCTTTAAAACAACACACTGTTGTAAACAAAGCCTCACTGTTTAATTTCCTTAAGCAATATAAACCAGGGTCAAGTTCTTTTTTAAGCACACTGAGACACACGCACGCTGGAAGGATAGCTAATAGAGCTTAACATTTCTCTTCACATTGAGAACTTGTGGATGGTTTCTAGCTTGCATTTTGCATTTCAATATAGATGGCAGCCGAATGTAGTCCAGCTTTAAACTATATGAAGAGGAATGTGTTCCATAATCTAGTTTTATATGACATCCCGCACAATAAACTGATAATGCGCTGAAGAAGTAATGGTTTTACCTGAATTCTTTCAACAATTTAAGGCCAATTCTTTTCAATACCCTGCAGCAACACTGACTTGAGGTAGATTACCCCCCCCCCCCCCCCCAAAAAAAATCATCATTTTAAAGAATATCACCACGCATGAAGCAAAAGTTGCATTCACAGATAACAACTGAACTGCACAGAGTCAGCAATATAGGAAAATCTCAGCACTGCTTTTGCAAACATGCATTTCCTCCGAGCTGTCACGCACTCACAAACCACCACTATGGGTGTTGGGAAAGGCAGGCTTCCCTTTCTTTTGGATGTCAGCTATCAGTCTGGGGAATACAAACACGCTCCCTCCCTCCCCCACGACTTCCTGGAACATTTCTGCATTATGAAACATCACTGAGAATCTGCTGTCTGTGAGACAAAGCTGAACTAACATCTAACCCCAAAATTTCAGTCTCTATTATCATAGAATCATAAAGGGATCTTTAAAGGTCATCTGGCCCAACCCCCTGTGATGAAGAAGAATATTTAGATATTAACACAAGCCTGTAGCTGCATGGCGAGCAACTCTTCCTTAGATTAAGGGGGTAACACAGCCAACTCTGCCACTAATGTAGCCTCCACACACTCACATCCCAAGCTGATTTGTTCCAATCCCAAGCAGTTTAACACAGCAGGAATCAACACAATGCCAGGAATGATGCAGAGAGGCCAAGGAGCACGCAGCGCAATTAGCTGTCACCCATCCTCAAATGCAATAATGTTTCTTCATTTAAATTGCCTCGCTGTCAAACAGCAATCACACCACATCGTGCAAATGCTCCACCAAGCTCAATATTCAATTTCTGGTTACATCCAACAGCTGATCCTTCTAAGTACAGTGTGTGAACAGCTGGGGACCCTTACATAAAACACTACCTAAGATGAGGCAGCTCTTCAAGTGGTTCCAACCTACCATCAGGCAGACTTCTGGTGTGTTTTCAGAAACGCGTGCATTTTTCCACTGATGCATACCAATAATTGCCTCTCACTGCTTTTGTATGGGTAAGGAGTTTTGCAGATTCACCCTGTGTACAGCACTGCACTCATAACGTTTTCCTCATTTACTGATTATGCATATCCTTTCCAAAGGCAGAACAACTGAAGCGTGCATCCTTACGCACTCCTGTTACCACAGATTATTTTTAAAAGCCAAAGTGTTCCTGTTCCTTCTAGCGCACAGCTTTTCCAGCCTGTATTTATAAATACATGAACACATATATAATCATGCCAGCATTTCCTTCCTGGGCACCTTGAATATCTCCCTGCTGTTCCAGAGGTCTCAAAGAGAAATAAATATTGCACCAACGCAATCAAATACTACAGCCTAGACAAAAAGGATTGCTGTATTTTCAACTTTTGCTAAACCTTCTTTTAATTGCAGTTCTTGCCTTCCATTCCACGTATATCAAATTCTTGAGTGAATTGTGCAAGTGACACATATGCTTCTTCACAAAGAAAATCTAAAAAAATAATGCAAGTATTTTTTACTGGCTACTGGTTTCTCCAGCCAACACACCGCTCATTTTTAAATGTTTGGAGAAGAACTATATATGCCAGGGGTGGTTCAGGCTGGGTATTAGGAAGAGCTTCTCAGAAAGAGCAGTGCTGCAGTGGCACAGCTGCCCACAGAGGTGATGGGGTCACCATCCCTGCAGGTGTTCCAGGAGATGTGGCACCGAGGATCACAGATTAGTGGGCACAGGGGGCAGGGTTGATGGTTGGACTTGATAAACTTAAGAGGTCTTTCTCAACCTTAATGATTCCATGATTCTGCGCGCAAGCTTCACCACACCACTATCCAGGCATTTCCCACATAACTAGCTACATTAAGATTACCATTTTCCATAGTTACCAAGAGAGCACACGATCAGAAACTCTCCACATATCAAATCTGGTAAGATGCACTCACACAGCACGTCACAGCCAGATGAAAGCTGGCATCACCTGCGCTGCCCGTGGCCCAGGAGTTGTGTAAGTGCTCAGGCAGCCCTGGCAGGAGCTCATCCTGCCTCTTGGAACACTCACTGCTGCCCAGCAGTAAGGCAGGGTGATCACACCAGGCTGACTGCAGCACAGGGACCTGCAAATGCCATCTTCTGCCTTCTAGCAGCTGAGCAAAGAATAGGTGAAAGCACACTCTGATTGTTTAGTTCTAAACAGTCTTTCTGAGTTTGGCAAAAGCTCTATGCATTGTAGTCATTATTTAGCATTGCATGTAGGGATTTTATAAACTTTCCTGTTAGA